CTCTGCACGAGACTGTGGGCTGACAGGGAGGGCAGGCGTGCGCTCCCAGTGCCCGACAAAACGATGCAAGCCCCCCAGTGAGGGAGCCGCCGGAGGCCCAAGTCCCGGGCGCCTGCTCAGGCGGGAAGCCCGGCCCCCAGGAAAAGCCGGCACGCTGGAGCCCCGTGTCTGGGTGCCTGAGCAGAAGCGCTGCCCACAGAGGCCGTCCCTGCCCTGCCCCGGCTCTGCCTTCTCCTCGAGGCCCCGGCTCCTTTGGCCTGACGCAGACCCGGCTCTGGGCGTTTTGAAGCCTTCCCGGTGGAGGCTCCCGCGCCTGCTTGGGAAGCACTGGCACCGTCTGGGCTCATCCCCTCGGCGGCCGCCTGGGGTGGCTGCTGCCCCGTCTTCCGTGAACCCGTCGAGGGGGCAGGCCGGGAGCCAAGCCTGCTCCCAGGCCTTCAGGATCTGCAGAAAGATGGGTGCTTCCAGGTTCTCTGCTCTCCCCGTACGTGGTCTGCTCACGCTGACACGAGCTTCCCCAGTTTTGACGTGACGGTAACCCAGGTGTTCAAGCAGATGAGGTTTTGCTTGTTACAGAGCATTGCTCATTAGAGCAGTGTTAAAGGAATATTTTATGTTACCAAAGCAGTAAACATGAGTCTAAACTGACCAGGGTCTGCAAAGAGAGCAGTGTGGAACAGAGAGCCTCGTGCCTTGCCGAGCGTGGTGTCAGCAGGCACCATTGTCACGCAGGTACCTCAGTGCCTGTCAGGGAATTTACAAGCATGTTCGTGCCCTCTGAGCCAGTGAGCTCATTTCTGGGGAATTGTCCCAATAAAGAGTTCAGCTGCAAGAGAATACTGTATCTGCAAAGATTTTTCATCCGCTTCAGTGAAGACATAGCAACCTAACTGCCAACTGGAGAGAAGTGGTTATTTCAGGCCACGTCTTTCCGTGGGGACGTTCTCGGCATATATCAGTGTTACACAGGTCACGGAGCAGCACGGTGGTGCTTTCGGGATGCAGAGATAGCGCCCGCCACTGCATGGCCACTGCATGTGTGACTCGTAGGCGCCGCCTCTGACCAAAGGCGGAGGAGAGCGGTGGTCTGAGGAAGGTGCTGGCTGTCTTTTCTGAAAACTGCTTTTCCAAATTCAGAATAAATTTGCCCTCTGACTACAGACAGGTGCTCGTTGTAGATGCACGGCAGGTACTGAAGAGCGTGAAGAGCAAGGTGAAAACTCCCTCGCCAGGCTCAGGAATCAGCCATGAAGGTGACTGAGCCCCGAAAGGCTGCTGGTGGGGCTGTCGGCAGGAGGGAGACCTGCTGCTTGACCGCGCCCGGCCCTCGGGAGGGGTCGCACTCACAGCCGGGGCTGACGCTGCTCTGGCTTCCGGCCTGTCTGCTGCCCTTGGCGTAAGCCTGTGACACGCTGCCCACGGTGCGTGGCCAAGGGGGGCCAGGGACTCGGGGAGCAGGCTGGTCAGGAAGCGTTTCTCTCTTTTTAATTAAAGCTGGGAGTTTGGGTTAAGAGCTTTAACTCTGAATAGCAAAACGAGGACACCTGCATTGAAATTTCCATGGGAGAAGTCACTATCACTACTGACTCTGCAAACCTAATTCTCCTTTCCTGATTGAAGTTGTTATTTTTGCACGACCATGCTTGATGAAGTAAGGTTTCTTGACCGCTGTCACTCAAGAGCACGTGTGTGACTATACAAAAGAATGGTCAGTGTCAGCCTATCAGTGCAGCCGTTACTCAGAGCATTTTCCTATGTTACATGATTGAAAAGTAGTTTTCTAATTTATGGAGAAATAAAGTCCCACTGGATATTGAATAAAATCAAATTAATCCAGCCAAAAAAATAATGGATTGGTGTCTTGGATTTATCATTCAGGAACAAGCCCTGTCTTTCAACTTACCAATCGGTCAAGTTTTATCACTTGCCTTAAATGGCAGCCTCAAGGTCATGCCTAGGTCTTTTGTTGTTTTATGGTGTGTTAGCTTATTTATGCCCTCATAAACGTTTTCCATTTGTTAGTGTTTTTTTTTTTTTTTAGATTTTTTACCTCATAACCACCCTTTTTATTGAATTTGGTACATTGATGCACCAGAGTATTATAAATGGTTCTAAGCAACTGAAGTCACTAGTTAGTTTTCCCTTTATTTTTATCTCGCTGAAGGTAATCGAACTGAACCTGAGACTTGGTTCTCAGATTTTCTCCTCTGACCCTTCCGAGCTTTATTAAAACATGACCTGTGTTTCAGGGGCCTCCTTTTGAGTGACTACAGAGAGCTCACCACTGCCTGGCTGAGGTTACAGAGAGGAGTCCTTCTGTGCTGGGGACCTTGCTTAGAGGTCGATCACGCTAAAACCCTTTGTAAGAAAGATGCTTCTCCGTGTTCGCTGTCGGCGATGGAGTTTAGGGAGGGAAGAGGAGTCTCAGGCCTCCGAGTCACTCTCCGTTCCCCCGCCCGAGCCTGGGTAATGGCACAGGCCATGTTTACACAGGCCCCTGGTGCTTAGGCCACGCTGCACGGGCCACGCTGGCACATCACTGCCAGGCCACATTGCATAGGCCACCACGGCACAGGCCACACTACACAGGTCCCTGTTTTAACACAAATTCAGTTTATGTTTATGACTTAGGGCACTTGTTGGTGCTGCAGTGGGTGTGGGTGGGGCTGTGGGGTGACGACGTTTTCCTGCAGCTGCAGAATATTTTTGCTGGCAGATTCAGGGAAGCGCTGCAGTGCTGCTGGGCAGTGGTGTCGGCCGCTGCAGCAGGCCCGGGGGAGCCGCCCCTCTTTGGTTAGCTCTCCAGGGGCATGTGTCCTCTGTCACGTGCATTTTCCAGAAGGCTCAGTTACTTGCCACGTACAAACGTGTGGGGTTTTGCTTTTACTGGAGCAATCCAGCCTTTGTGCTGAAAAAGGCGTTAAAGGGCTTTGTACGGTTTCCCCTCTGAGGTTACCTGGTAAGTGTTTAGCAGCTACTTGGCATTTGGCTTCCTCTGAAATCCAACATTAACACCTACGTGCTTTTAAGCAGGAAAATGAGCTTCTGTTTTCATAGATCACACTTCTTTTTTCTACTTCATGTTGTATCATTTGTGCCTCTCCCCAGGCGACAGAAACGGACGCCAAAGTCAGAGTGTGCACCCGGGCTTACCGTCTGCTGGTGGAGAAGGTGGGCTTCGACCCAAGCGACATCATCTTTGACCCGAATATCCTCACTATCGGCACTGGGATGGAGGAGCACAGCTTGTACGCCGTTAACTTCATGCACGCAGCCAAAGCCATTAAGGTCAGTCCGGGCCCTTGCCCGCGCGCCCCTTCAAGTGCTGCTGCTCTCGTCACGTGATTCCACTGACGGCCTCTGGCCAGCTTTGGACTCAGTGACGTTTTCATTTTGGGTAGTAAGAACATTGGGTTTCTCATCAGTTTTCTTTCATATGTTGTTTAAGCTGTGAAGTATGACACACACATTCCCCACTCTGGCCGCCACCGGCACCCCCGCCCCCCCGCCTCAGTTCTCGGGGCTCTGGCGGAGAACAGCTACGGATGACCTGCAGCTTCCCGGGCTCTTAGTTTCCGCTCTTCGCTGTGAAGCGCAAGGCGTGTGCTTGCTGCTTTTGGTAAGCCAGAGGACTTCCGCACCGTCTGTTCTTTCTCAGGAGACATTACCTGGGGCCAGAGTAAGTGGCGGCCTCTCCAACTTGTCCTTCTCCTTCCGGGGTATGGAGGCCATCCGCGAAGCGATGCACGGCGTCTTCCTTTACCATGCCATCAAGGTAGAGTGGGCCTGTCTGCCCCATGCAGGCCGCTTAAGCAGGGCAGGGTGCGGGTGGCCGCGGGTTGGCCCCCGGGAGTTCCAGGGCGCCTGCCTCAGAGGCAGCAGAGGCGGCTGCCGCATACGTGGCCTCCCTGGACCTGTGTGGAAAACGCTTGCTGGCTCTGCTTGAGGTGCTACTGGAATCCTCGCCTTTTTTTTTTTTTTTTTTTAAAGATTTATTTATTTATTTATGTTTATAGAACTCGGGTATAGGCCAGGGGTGTGGTGGGTGAGAGGATCCACCAGAGACAGAGCGGGGAGCAGAACAGGCCGACTGACGAAGTTTGGTGCTGAGGGGAGCAGCGGGCGGGTCAGGAGGGGTCTGCTGTGCCCTATGAGTCACCTCGGGGGCAGGTGGGGATCGAACTGGTGCTGCAGTCGGCTTGCAGTGCTGCGCTTTAACCGGTTGCGCCCCCGGGGAGGCCCTGATCCCCGTCTTTCTTTCTGTCTCTCTCACTTAGTTCGGCATGGACATGGGGATTGTGAACGCCGGGAACCTCCCCGTCTATGATGACATCCAGAAGGAGCTCCTGGGGCTCTGTGAGGACCTCATCTGGAACAAAGACCCAGACGCCACCGAGAAGCTGCTGCGTTTCGCTCAGGTAGGTGGTGGCCTTGGGGCCTTGGGTCGGATCGCGTGTGGCACAGACGTGGGGTGTCTCGGCGTGGAAGAGGACATCATGACTTTCCTGGTGGCCCGGAGACTGGAAGCGTGTCTCTAATCTGCACTCCTGGAGGTTTTGCAGAAAGCTCCGGAGAAGGTGTCTTCATTAGAGCGAGGCGGGTGAGGCAGGCTGCTTTAGGCGCTCTGCACTTAGGTCTGAGTTTATTTTAAAATACAGAACTGCAGTAGATCGTGCTGGGCACTCTTGGTGCCCATGGTGAGCAGTCCGCTCTGGAGGCGTGCTCCGTCCTGTTGGACTCTTGTCTGCGCCACCCTGAAGGGGCTGTCTGGGTCCTGTCGCCGGCCCGCAGTGAGCGGCGTGGTCCTGCTGTTCTGTCCGCTTACTCCGGCTGCCCCAGGAGTCGGCGGGGCTCCACGTGTGATCTGTGAGCTGGGGAATAAGTGCACTAGTTCTGGTTTCCATTGTGTTACGGCGGGCGATCGTGGGTGCGCCAGGCGCCGTGGTGTTTGCCGGCATCAGGGTATTCTAGAAAAAGGAGAGGACAGCTTAGGATTGTCTGTGTTTTTGACGTACTAGAGCATGGGTGGCGTCATTTAGATTTTCTGAGTCTGTTGGTCTCAGACTCAGCAAGGCTGACTGGGATTTCGTCTTTGAACCCATGAGTGCAGGACCCTCCTCTCCGTTCCTTAGAAGCTTCTGGTTCTCAGGGGGGCCGAGGGGAGAATCTCAGGTCTTGCTTGATGCGAATACAGTCAAGCTCTTGGAGAAAGTCCGTCTCAGCCCCTCAGGGTAGGTGCTGTTTCTGTGCTCTGCTGTGCCCTTCCCCTGGCGTCATTTGATTAGACTCGTCATTTGCGAGATCGTCTGGAAGGTGCACTGGAAACCAGGGTGACTGCCACAGAGGCCAGGCAGTCGCACAGAATAGGAAGAGGGATCTGCATGGCGAGAAACACCAAAGAGGTGTGGTCTGAGGACAGGGGATGGCCCCGAGCTGGCTGGCCGCCAGCTGGGGGGGGCCAGGGGAGGTGCAGTTCGCCCTGCTCCCTCTGTGCCCGTCCTCACGGAGCCTGTCAGGGCCGCAGTCTGTTGCCCGCCTGTGCCGACGCTGCTTCCTGCGGCCCGAGTCGGCTTGTACTGTCTGAAAATTAATGGACCCTCATGTTACCTACTAAAAGCTCAAATTCTGAAAGATTTTTCTTCACATGAGGAATACGGTGTGCAGCGGAATTAGCGGTGGGAATTTCACCCAAGATGATAAAACATACAGTGTCTAAAAATGAAGAAAACTGTAGGGAGTATATAAATAAATAAAAGGCGCCCCTCCCCCCAGGGTTATCTTCCTCGTGCTGGGTGTCTCCTAGGGGCTGGACATAGAAAGGAGAGTTGTTGGGTCAGGACCTTTGTGCCCTTTCTCTGTCCTCATTTCCATCCAGACGCGTGACAAGGGCGGGAAGAAGGTGTCCCAGACGGAGGAGTGGAGGGCTGGCTCCGTGGAGGAGCGCCTGGAGCACGCCCTCGTCAAGGTGAGCTGGGCGGCCAGGGGGCCGGGAGGCCGAGGCCCGTGTGCACTGGTGTTGTGGGAGGAGTGGCGTGGCCAGCGTGGACGGCGACTCTACATGGACCGGCCCTGGGTGGTTTTCCCTCCCTGCCCCCCGCCGCCTGTGGCAGTGTCCAGAGATCACCCCAGGGTGGCCCGCGTCACTGTGTCCGTGGGGAATTTCAGGGATCTTGTTTTTTGGTCTAGAATTATATTTTTTGAGACTGTAAGCTGTGGCACCCACCCGACGCCACTAACCGGGCTGGAGCCAGGCTGGAGAGTCAGCGGAGGCCTCGGGACCCCGCTCGCCTGGGGGCTCACCGGGGCCTTCCTCCCTCTGGCCTGAGGAAACTTCCACTCTCTGCGGGGACGCTCATTAGCTTGTGGGCGATTCGCCCGCAAGGCCACGGCCACGGGCCTGCTAACGTGAAACGTGCGTGTTCCTCGTCCTGATACCGGCCGCTGTGTTCCCGTGAGACCGCCAGGGACTTAGGGTTGTCTTCTTTAATCCTGAAAAGAAACGTTTGAGGCACGGTACAAGGTGACATTTTAATTAGGAATCTGAGGCCTAATAAACTGCCTAAATTAGTGATAAAGCAAGGATTTGAACCCGTTAAATCTGACTCCGAAATGCACATTCATTAAGCATTTCCTCGGTCCACTCTGTCGGCTGTTTGAGCCTAACCCACTTTTTCATGTGATTTTCCCCCCTGGCTTTTTGGTAGGGCATTGAGAAGCATATCGTTGAGGATACTGAGGAGGCCCGGTTAAACCGTGCAAAATATCCCCGACCGCTCAATATCATCGAAGGGCCTTTGATGAATGGAATGAAGATTGTCGGTGATCTTTTTGGAGCTGGAAAAATGTTTCTCCCACAGGTGAGCAAAGGCGGAGGGCACGCGGGGTTTTTGCAGTTGAAATAAAAGATCTCTGTAAGCTCACAGATGTTTCTCATACATCAGGTTTGCATTTTGACGAGAATTTAGGGCATTGAAATCTAGTCATTACTCAAATGCATTTGGGAGTAACCTGAAAAAATCCACCTTTAGGGTACGTGTGATCGTTAGAGCCCACCTGAGAATCTCATCTTTCTATTCTGCCCTGTCATTTACCCTCAACGCCTGTCTCTCCTCCAGCCGCTTCTCAAATGAAAATAAAACCCAAGATTGATGAAACTTAGTAATACTAAGATTTGATCAGACCGGTGTTTATCTTTAAGGATGCCTATTTTGAAAAACATCAAGTAGTGATGTACTACACTAAAGGATACTTCAGGCAAAGCCGCATGACTTGCTGCAGACGCATCCGTGCGTGGACTCCACCCGGCTGTCTGTGTTTGCAGCTCCAGACACAGGGAGGCCGAGGGACCCCGGTCTTGCTTTTCTCGTTTACTCACTTGGTTTTAATTATTGATAGCCATTCTCCCCGATGCCATCCCCCCCTGCAGCCCGGCTGGCTTATAATTAGCATCTAGCAAGCTAGACTCCAGAGCTGTAATTTGGAAAGTTTTAACATTTCTGCGCTCATGAAACCATCCCCACAGTCAAGGAAAGGAACGTTTTGCTCTGTCTTCTTGGTCTCCTCCAGTATTTGTTCAGTCTCGGCTTCTCATGGTGCTGACTTACTTGAACTTTTTTTTAGTTAATTTAGACTTAGTAGTTGCAAATGCAACTTAAAAGTGCTCTTACATCTCTCGTCCAGCTTCTTCTCTTCATAGTAACTTTTACACGGCCACAGTACAGTTATCGGAGCCAGCAAGTAGCGTTGGTCTCGCGGAGCTGACGGGACTTCACTTGGTTTCACGGGTTGTCCACAGCTCTTCTGTCTCTGCCCCAGGGCCCAACTGCTCATTCCCTGCACTTCAGCAGTGCCTCGTTCTTTCCTCAGACCTTGACTCTTGGAAGAGTTCAGTGCCGTGTAGTTTGAGGGCCGTAGATGGCCCTCACTCTGCGTCTGTTGGTTTTCTGATGTTCGCAAAGCTCAGGCCCTCAGCACTGGGCGCTGCTGCGCCTTGTGCTCGTGCCAAGCCCGTCGTGTTAGCTCGCTAACTCTGGCATTTGTTGATGGTCTCTCCGCTGTAAGTTTGCTTGGAGGACCTGTGAGGCTGCGTGGACCTTCTACTTCTCCATCCTGAAGTTAGCACTCATGGGAACTATAAAAGACCCTATTCTTGCGAGAGCACGGGACGTGATGAGAAGTGAACTGTGATGCTGGGGGCTGAGAAGGGCTCGTGGTTAGATGTGTGAAACTTCATGCATGTGTAGACCTTGAAGATGTGCGCGCAGGCAGAGAAAAAAAGCATGCAGAAAGAGTTTCGGAGGCTGGATGGCCACGCTGCTGTCCAGTTTTGTGGTCCTTCCTACACTTCGGCTCCCCAGGGGGCCTTCACTCCTCGTCCTCTGTGTCGACCATAGTGGACTCCAGGGAGACTGGCCCGGGTCAGACCTCACTTCATTGGCACTGAAATGCCCAGGTCAGTTGGTGAAGGTGCCTGCTTGTGCCTTTCCAGGTCATCAAGTCCGCCCGGGTCATGAAGAAGGCTGTCGGCCACCTCATTCCCTTCATGGAGAGAGAAAGAGAAGAAACCAGAGTGCTCGCTGGGACGCAGGAAGAGCAGGTGCGTCGTGCCGTCTCGGCCTGCGGGCTCTGTGTGCCTGAGCTGAAGTTCCCCTGCGCTCGGGGCAGCAGCTCAGGTGCGGGGCTTAGCCAGGCGGTCACAGAACAAAAAGGAGAGAGTGAACTGAGCCTTCTCCCGAGAACCAGAGCCCCGGGGCTCCCCTTTGGTGTGCCTTTATGAAACTGTGAACGCGAACACAATTTTTCCAATAGAGGCTGCAACTTCAAGACAGAAGCGGCTCATTCCTTCAGCTCTTACCGGTGCCAGGGGCTGTGCTGGGCACCGCGGCCTCAGACCAGCCCCTGCCCTGGAGGAAAAGAGTGGTGGGTGGCCTTGGAGGCCTGCTCACTGAGTGTTCTCCGTGTGCCGGGCGAGTGCTTGGCGCCCTCTGGGCTCAAGGTGGATTCGCCTCGCTGCACCGCCCTCGTAGTCATCATGCTCTGACCTTGTCCAGCTCCTGGGATGCCCAGTCCACGCTGGCCCCTACATTCTGAATTCTTCAGTTGTTGGAGTCTGTGCAGGGCTCAGCTGTGGTGGTGCACAGCTCCCTCCTGCGTGCCTTTTCCTTTCCTTCCCCTTTTTCTTGCCGAGGGGGAAGAGACGCTGGCAGCTTGTGGCACAGGCGCCAAGGGGCTCAGCGCCCAGCGCCCAGTGCCCAGCCCCTCGCCCCGTGGCTCACGACGGGCGCTTGGCTCAGGCCTGCCTCAGCTACGAGGCTGTTCGTATTTGTACCTGCGCTGTTCTCCACAGTGCTGGGAGCAGGGCTCAGCTGCACCCCTGAGCTAACCTGCCACGTAGTGGCGCTTCGTATTCTGCTCTCAGGCAGTATCGGGGCTCTGGTCAGGCCTCGAGCTTCTCTTGGCTACGTTAATCTGCTTCCTGCACTGAGCGCTGATGGGTGCCAGAGAACCTGGCGGCCCGCTCTGGAGCGGCCACGCTGTGCTGGGTGACTGGACTTGGCCTTTCTCCCCAGGACCCGTACCAGGGCACCATCGTGCTGGCCACCGTCAAGGGCGACGTGCACGACATCGGCAAGAACATCGTGGGCGTGGTCCTGGGCTGCAACAACTTCCGGTAGGGAGAACCTCAGGCCACTCTGGGGGAAAGTAAGGCGCTAGGAGCACAGTTCCTAGCGGGTATACGCCGCGGGGCTCAAGGCCATTTAAAATCTCTTTCCCTGCTTATTTGTTTGAAGTTGTTATCTTGAGCACACGTTTTTCAGGCAGTAAGTGATTACTTCATCAGTCAATGGCCAAAGGGGACCAAGAACAATGGGTAGCCACCGTTCAGCAGCCGAGGGGCCGCTCCCCAGTGCGTGATGCAGAGACGCTCGGTTTTCTTCTGTCAGTGGACGGCCATGCTTTAGAGCCACGCCTTTTTGTTTCTTAGTTCTTTTTAACTGTGTCTGTTTGTTGAGGTGGGGTGGCGGCACCCCACTGCCTTTCGTCCAGCCCTGCAGTTGGCTTCTGTTTGCATCTGTCATGAGTAATTGGCACTTGTCCCAGCCGCTCGCTCATTGCCTGTAAACCACCTACTGCAGCATTGCACCAGAGCTCCAGAGTGACCTGGTTGACTTTTCTCCATCCAGGAAGTTTCCGGTTTACTGTCAGGCTTCACAGCCCTGGTGAATGGGCTGAGAACAGTTAAGAGATGACTTGTAGTAAATTTCCTGAAGCAGGTCTTGAGCTCCCAGTGGCATGGGGTTCTCATGCTGTTGCAATCCACACACAGATGTCCGCCTCAGCTTAGTCTCTGCGGGCTCTCACCGGTTTCCTTGTCTCCTCTCTGCCTCAGAGTTATCGACCTGGGGGTCATGGCTCCCTGTGATAAGATACTGAGAGCTGCCCTGGACCACAAAGCAGGTACGTGCTCCAGGGGCCCCATGCCCATCTGTGAATGGTAGAGTCCCCCCAGGCCCCCCACCCCGTGGGCTGCTGGGATCGCTGCATGTGGCTTTCCAACGAGGGGCAGAAGGGTAACTAGGTAACACGAGCTCCCCTTTGGCCCTTGAGATGGGGAGCAGGGACGGGCTTCTGGTACGAGGACAGTGGGAGCTGGGATTTCCTGTGTGGGGCTGTCTCTCTCTCAGACAGTGACACTTGCGAGTCTGGGAGGCCATGAACAGCAGTGTGTCCTGGTATACGACTTCCTGGTAGTCCAGGTGCGCATTGACGACTGCGTGGCAGATCATGTTTAGTAGAGAACTGGAGCACTAAATGCTCAAGACATCAGAAATGTCTTGAAATTCGAATCTGGAGCTTTATATCTTGTGGCCTTTATTCAAGTTTTTAAGTGGGGCTTCCTGCTTTTCCTCTGTTAAGCTCTTATTTTCTCACGGCCCTTCCTTCCCTCTTTTTAATAACAGACATAATTGGCCTGTCAGGACTCATCACTCCTTCCCTGGATGAAATGATTTTCGTTGCCAAGGAGATGGAGAGGCTGTCCATAAAGATTCCCTTGCTGATAGGCGGGGCCACCACTTCCAGGTGAGTTGTGCTCGTGATTCGCGCGCCGCCGCGGGCTTACTGTCTTGCGTCCTTGTCTCTCTTGGGACGGGAGGGGAGACCCTTCAGCTGTGCTCTCCATGGCTCTGCTGCCCGCAGCGCCCTCAGTCCTGCCCTCCGCCATGCTCCCCACCCGTTTTCCTCCTCCTCCTCGCCTCACGCTCCCTCACGCGTCAGCGTTCACTTGAATTCTGCCAAGTGCAGTGCTTACAGACAGCGATGGGACTGTGCCCCAGGGCCAGGTGTGGTGTGAGGGCCATCAGGGGAGTGGACTGGGTGATTTTTTTTCTTATGTATTGTGTGTCCTGTCACGACCAGGGAAGCTACAGTTGTTAAGGGGAAGGATGTCCTAAAGGAGTTCTGCAGAGTTCTGTGGACCCCACCCCCTACTCCAGTGACTGGAAACTGCAACTCCCAGCAGTACCAGGGAGAGAGCTGCGAGGACCCCAGGGTGGAGCTAGCAGGAATTCTGGAACATTTGGGGGATAAATAGGGCGCGTTTGCATCTCTCTTGCTCGGGAAGCAGCTCTCCTGACCCTGTGACTCGGTGTCTTCAGTCAGCCTAGCTGTAAGGTATTGCAGTTACTTTGTATCCTGCTCTCTTTCCCTGGTTGTTTCCTGTTCCTTTCCCCTTTTGTAAGTAAACCCATTTTGACCCTTTTGTGTGTACCTGCAGTACAACTAAATTTAAGTATGCGGGTGAGGCCCCATAGACAGGTGGCTCAGTCCACACTGGGTGCCAACACCCATCTCTGCTCGGACAAGAGCGGGGCACCTTTGGGGCGTGCTGTGTGAAGGCCATCCTGACCCCCCCACCCCCCGCCACACACACACACACACCTTTCCCTCCTTGCTTTTGTTTTCCTTGGCTTTCAGTGATCTTTAGTCCTCACTTCCCACCCAGTTCCTGAGACCTCTGCTAACACTGACACGTCTTGAAAGCAAACCGAGGGGAGAAGCTGTGTCTTTTGGCTCAAAGATGTTGCTTGAACTTTAACCGGGTCTGTGGAAGCAGGTGTCTAGTTGACTAACTACAGAGTCGTTTGAAAACACATCTCATAGTGTCATAGTTGGGACATGGAGTAGTCTAGTGAGAATGAGCCAAAGGGCCACTTTGCTAGTTGGTTTGAAGGGGAACTGTTTGCAGATGTTTGAGCTAAACAGTTTAGAGAGGAAAAGTTCAGATTTATCATGTGATCGTTATTTAGTTGTTCAGATTTTTTCCATGGGTCATGATAATAATGGTATTTGGTGGGAAATACGTCGCCCTTTAGAGGCTTGGTCAAAGATTTTCCAGAGTTCGTTTGTAGTGATCATTTGGATTCATCAGGGGTCTCCAGAGAGCGGTCTCTACAGCATCTTTCCTCCTGAGGTCTGTTCCTGACGAGAGCATGTCACCCACCTATGGAGGGCAGTCTGCTCCACTCACATCCGCCAGTCAGATGTCACTTAATAAATACCTGCACGGAAACTTCTGGGTTGACAGTTGACCAATAACTGGGGACCCTCGCCTAGCCAAATTGATAAAAACTTAGCAATCGACCTATTTATAATCTCTATGAATCGTTTTCATGAGTAGTCAAAGTGTTGGATGTCATCTATCCACTAATTGCTTTACATACTTGAAGGACTCAAGAGTGTGGCTGTGGCTATTTATGGTGGAAAAGCGAGTTGTTTTTTCCACAGAGGGGTTATCCAGGAGTCCACGTGGCAGGTTATTCTGCAGGCCAGTGTGGAGACCAGGTGTTGATACCTGGGGCTGCAGTGAGTGTGGCTCTAATGGCTGGCGTTGGCGAGTCAGTGCCCGTTGCCTTAGTGAAGGGGGTGAGTGGTAAGAGGGTCCAGAGGCTCGTGCAGATATTTAAATGCTGGGTGCCACGAAATGCTTTGTGAGTTGTGTAAATGTGACGATGGCGTCAGAGGAACTCTCCTCCGTAGAGGGGCACACACGAGGCCGGGCAGCCCGTGCTGTTGGGACGTTGCGGGATAGTCCCCTCGACACTGCGGCTCCCAGGTGAGATGGCAGATGCAGAGGTCTTTGAAAAAGTTCCGTTCCCGAGTAGCCTCTTGGCAAAGGTAGCCAGTGACCGAAGCGTGACACCTGGCACATGGAGTGGACTTGGCCGACAGCAGCGGCTCGCTGTCTCCTCCGGCGGGTGCGGGACACCGACTCTGGCTGCGTCCAGCCCTCCGGCACCTGGTTTCTCGTGGGCTCTGTCGTCCTCCTCCGGCTCGTGCTTCCAAGCCTCTTGCCTTGTCCGAGAACCTGTCTGCAAACTGCTCCCCGGCGGCAGTGCTTCCGGGTGCCGGTGCCTGTGCGGCTGGCCCGAGTGCGCTGGCCCCACCCAGCCTGCTTTGCTCAGCATTGTGTCCGTGGGCCCGGCCAGGCTCCGGTAGCTGGCGCTTGTTCCCACTTACTGTGACGCGGCCGGTGGCCCCGTCCACCGTGTTTCTGTGGTGGGCATTCGGCGCTGCACCTTGGGGTTCTGGCAGGGGCGGGGTGTGCAGGTCCGTCCGCCCTGCGGCGGAAGTGCTGCTTCGTAGAGCGTGCACCCTGACTTAGCTGTTGCTGGGTGCTTTGCTGTCCTGCCACAGTCAGGAGGCTCCTCGTTGCGCCTCGTGCTGGGATGGCACCCGCCCTTATGTGGACGTGGCTGCTCTTATCAGGGCTCCCATTTGCTTCTCTGCCATGGACCCCGCACAGCTCCCCGTGGCGGTGGCCCTGTGTCTGGAGGTGCTCCTGGGGCTGCTGCAGATGGGCCGTTTTTCTGACTGATTCATTTATGCGCCTTCTTACCTAGGACACAAGCCCCTGTCAGAACGCGTGTCACACCTGGACTTTCCTAGTGTGGCTTGCCTCTTGCTTTCTTCATGGCATTTTTGCGTGACAGCAGTTCTTGATGTCCGTAGACGTGCTCACTCTTTTCCCGGATGCACGGCGCAGCCGAGCTTGGCAGGAGTCAGCTTTGCTAGAAAGCTCTCAGCCCTGGCCCCTCCGCGGCCTCTGAGAGCCTCACCCTCGCCCCTTCCTTCGCTGGTGAGCAGAAGGTGTCCCAGCACACGTGTCGTGGGGGCTGGGCGCTGGGGGGCATCAGCCCGGCCCAGGCCTCTGGGGCCTACAGTGGTGGATAGAGCCAGACTGTACCCCCAGGACGCCTGGAATGTGGCTTCCCAGCCTGGGGGGTGGCTCCCTGAAAAGCGGCAAGGGCTGGGCCTTGTGGGGTCATCTGGGGGTGCACGTAGGCTTGGGCTGTCCAAACCCGTGGCTATAAGATTACGGAAAGTGGAATGTTCTGTCTGTGTTCCAGATGGTTTTGGTCTCACAAACTAGAAATGACTTTAATGGAAATCTGGTCCTGCTGGCTTCAGAATTTCTCAAGGGCTCAAGTCTGGCAGTTAGCTCTCAATTTTCAACTAGTTTGAAGCTAATAGCTGCAAGATGTCTTTTTCAATTATCTTTTGTGTAACTCCGAGCATTCAACAGGAATTCGTATTGCTCAAACTAAAGGTACTTTTCTACGGGCGCTTTTTTTTTTAATTGCTAGGCCCTAAGGTGCTGAGTCATGGAACTGGTAGCATTTTCTTCTTTGAAATGACTAAGAGCTTGGAGCTCAGGCCTTTGTCTGGGGCTTCAGGGAAAGGCTTTTATATGCCCATCACTCCTGATTCCTTCTTAATTTTCTCATTTGTATTTTCTCTTTCTCCCATTTTTCTCATCAAATTTTATGTTCGGTTATGCTACATTTAAGCTGAACACTTTCACTGATGGCACATTACGTGGCCTAATGCTTGGAGCATTTGTTCTTTTTCAGAGGTTCTAAAGGACCTGAGGCAGTAACACTGTCAGGTCCTCTGGCAGGTACAGAGGTGACTCAGCCACTCCTCAGGGGCCGGTGAGTGAGCTCAGAGTCATCCTTGGGGCCTGGTCCTTTGCTCGTGCTATGTGAGAGCAGGGCGGATTCTGGTGCTTTATCTTGTCAGACTTCCTTACAAAGTCGCATTCTAGCTGGGGAAGCGTGCGCGGACGCTTGGACGAGAGTAGCGTCTTGGTCATTTTCTTCGGAAACCCAAGACGCTGCGGTGGGTGACGGAGCACAGCTGCGCGCGTCTCAGCAGGCCGCGCTGGCCTTTCCGTGGCAAGCAGCGCTTTGCTTTCAGGTGTTTTTAGTGCTGGGCTCCATGGGGCCTTCTCAGCGTCCTTGTCCAAAGGGCATCAAAGAGGAAGTGGCCGCAGTTGTATTGAGATCACGGGTGTTTGGTAAATACTGCACTGACTCCAAGTGGCGCTGGTTTCCTTGGAGAGAAGTGTCATCAGAGTGACACAGCTCAGTGCATCCTCTGGATGGAAGTAACATTCTACGTGGGACTTGGTGCCGCAGGCACACGGAGGTCTGTGCAGGTGCCTGCGGAGCTGGCCCTCGAGAGAGGAATCGCTCTGACGAGTGACCCGTCTTGACACCGGAAGGTTTTCCGTTGTGTTTCCCGCCCTTTGACACCCTCCCTCTCGTGGCACAGCCCAGGTGTTTTCAGAGCTGTGCTTTCCAAGCACAGAGCCACCCTCGGAGGCAGAGTGTGCGTGACCCCAGTGCGTGGTCTGGCCCTGCGTGCCCGCACCCCCACCCAGCAGAGATGGCTCCCTGCTGACCCCATGCTCAGCGCCCGCCCCACAGCGCCTTCCCTGGCTCGGGGACCTTTGCCTCCGCAGTGTTTCTCCACTGGAGATGCTCTGAGAAAGGGAGCGGCGCAATGTGAGCGGGCTGGTCTGGCTCCCCAGGAAGGAGGCTGCAAGCCCCCGAGCAGCCGCCAAGCCACAGACCGCACTCCTGTAGTCACCTGTGTTGTTTCAAATTAGCCGTCAAGGTCATTAGGACGTGTCAGACAACTCAGAAGAATATAAAGTAGTTTGATCTTCCCCTTTCCTCCGCCAGCCCCCAGAAGCTCCCCATCGCCAGCATAGCTGTGTTTCCCCTCATACATAGGCGCTTCGCCGTCAGGCTGCTTGGCCAGGGCAGGCCGAGGGCGGTGGTGCTGGTGTATAAAGACAGGATTTTATGAAACATCCTGCTCCGCTGTTTTGTTTTGTAATAGCACATTCCGGAGGCCTTTCCAGATACCAGTGCATTTGAGTTGAGGGAAGGGTGCCGCTGATTTAGGGGAGCAAGGGGCGGGGGCTGGGGCACCGACCCGGCCACTGCTGATGCCGGCTCTCAGCGGGGTGTGGCAAAGCCCTTGTCCTTTCCGGCTGGGGGCTCCGCCTGGGCAACTGTCGGGGAGGGCGGTGCGTTTTCCAGGCTCGTCCTAACGGTGTTGCAACACCTGTGGGTGCCCCAGGCGCTCGGTACTCAGGGCAGCCTGGTGGCTTTTGAGTTGTGGTCATTTCAGGGTTTAAGGATGATTTTCTCCTCTGTAACAATATTTTAAACTCAGCGAGAAAAATTTAGGCTATGTAATGTTAGTGTAAGACATTTCTGTGGCTGTCCCGCTCTGTGTATCCTGTGTTGGCTCATTTAGGGCTCCCTGGCGACACGCACAGGGCGACCGGAGCCTGGCAGCGAGCGTGGCGGCTTCCAGGACAGGGCGGAGCCTCCTGAGAGCCACGTCCTGGGTCCCTGCCTCCTGCCTGGTCCCGGGGCAGCGGCACTGTCCTGCGGGAGCCTGTCCACTTGGACCCTGGGGTGCCCTCACAGCCCCTGCTCCTCAGGGTCCCTGGCCCCAGCCCCTGACGCCCTCACGGGCCAGCTTCTGCAGGCAGAGGGAGACACCTTGCTTCTTCGCTGTAGCTGTCTACAGCCCGGCCAGTCTGGGTCCTTGCCCCCAGGCCTCCCCGCCTAAGCTGCGGAGAAAGTTCTTGCTTTACAGGGGAATCAGAGTCCAGGGTTTGTAGGCGCCTACAGCGCCGTCCCAGGAAAGCGGTGTGGACACACAAGGCCCCAGCAGCCCTGAGCAGGGTTGCGTTGGCGCCTCAGTGCCCTTGGTGAGGCTGAGGTGTTTCTTCCCGACCCTCTTTTCAGAACCCACACTGCAGTCAAAATCGCCCCGAGGTACAGCGCGCCCGTGGTCCACGTCCTGGACGCGTCCAAGAGCGTGGTGGTGGTGAGTGGGCTGCTCACGCGCCGGGTGCGTTGGTGTGTGAACTGGACGGACCGTGGCGGCGCCAGGGCCTGGCCGAGACTGGCTATCTGCTGAGTCCGAGGAGAAGTCTGAGGGCGGGTGCGGCTGCTGGCGGCCCACACCGTGGCCGCCCACACCTGGCTTGGCCCGCGCTTGGCTCGGGATGTCCGCGAGAACAGCACGGTTCTCCCGGCCCGTGACCCCGGAGCCTGGTTCTGGGCCGCCCATCGGCCGCCTGCTGTGCTTCCTGGCTTCATTCCGGGACGGCAACTGCCTTGTTGGGGTGCTCTGAAATTCCTACAGAATCATGGGCGCCGGAGTCAGTGGCCCGTTAGCCACCGTCCGTCCAGTCCGGCTGCCTCCGTTTAGATGATGGCGTCGGTCTCCTGCCCTCTCGGGTCCAGGGGTCCTGCTGGAGGGTGCAGAGAGGGCGGCGCTGGGGCTTGTGGGTGGATGCGATGCCCGGCCTCGCTCCCGCCTGTGCGCCTGTTGTGAGCCATGGCCGGCCTCGTCCACCACAATTCTTCCACTGTGACCTTCATTTTAGTGCTCTCAGCTGCTGGATGAGAACTTAAAGGATGACTACTTTGAGGAGCTCACGGAAGAATACGAAGAGCTCAGACACGACCATTATGAGTCCCTCAAGGTACGTGGCAGAGCAGACCCTCCCTGTCGTGAGCGGGCCTCCCTGTTCCGAGGAGCGGTGGGGGGTCACTTTAGGGAAGCCCTGTTTCCTAGTTCGAGTCAGGAAGTTCCCCATAATTTTTGGTTGTGTTGAAATTAATTTTATTTATTCTGCCAAACATTTCTTGGGCACCCTGGCAGGTGTTTGGCGCTAGGGACCTGGGGTATGGGGATGACTGCGGCGGGTCCGTGCCCAGGGGAAACCGGGTGACGCCCGCAGATCTTGTCCCGGAGGAGATGGTGGAAGAAAGTGAGAGCCTTAGCCAGCGTGTGGAGTGTCAGCCTGACGGCCCTCCAGGAGTGGTCCCTAGGGGGCTCCAGGGGCTGTGTCCAGAGCTGGCCTGACCCTCTTCAGCAGCCCCTGGGATATTCTCACGATAGGAAACCGACCCTGTTTCCTTGCAAAATGTAAACACTTTCTGGGGGATACATCCGTAGTGGTGCCGAGAGCTAAGGCTTTCTGACACGTAACTTCCTGTCCCTAGGAGAGAAGATACGTGACCTTAAGTCAAGCCAGGAAAAACGGTTTCCACATTGACTGGCTGTCCGAGCCCCGCCCAGGTCTGTTTGGCTGTCGGCTAGTGAGCGGGTGGCTGCTGCGCTCCATCGAGGTGTTTGCTTTGCTTAGCTGCAGCGTCAAACGGGCGGCCCAGCTGCTTGATCGTGTGATGGTGGTGGGAGGAGAAAGAGAACCCGCATCTAGGGGCCGGCGCTGTCCTGGGAGTGACCCTGAGTCCTCGGCGACTTCGTGGCGAGGGATTGAGCGCTGGTGGCAGCGGGCCGGCTGCCAGGGTCCCGTCTCTGCCCTGCCTCCGAGCCCCTGCGGTCTCCCTGGGGTGTGCGAGTGGCCCGTCACCTCGAGGCCGGTCTGGTCGGCCGCACTGCCCCTGCGTGGCCTGGCCCAGCCGGCCCAGGGTCGGGGTGGGGGTGTTGCCCGGCTGGGGTGAGGCGCGCTCCTGCCACTCTGGGTCTCGGCCCAGGGACGACCTTCCGCCTCCCTGCTCACCTAGCGGTGCGCGTAGACACGGGGGAAGGTGTGAAGCGGCCTCGGGAACCCCCTCTGTGCCCACGGAGAATAACCCACTTCCCACTACCCACACCCATGCCCGCCCCTCCCGAGCCGACGTGGGCCGGGCTCCCGGCTCCCTCGCCTGCGGCACAGACTGCTGGTCCGTGCCGTGGGCTTATGGCACCTTGCTGATGCCCCTCTGCGGGGGCCTTTCCTTGACTGTCGGCTGTTGTTTGGACTAAGGAATATTAACCCAGATCTCCCCTTTTCTGGGTGAAGGGTCGGGGGGTTTCCAGAGGCCGGTCCCACACGTGGCGGGGGCTGCTGGAAGTCCTCCCTCTCCTCCATGCTGACCTGAAGCTCCTCCGCGAAACAGCCCCGGCGGCGAGGGTGGGCGGGCGGGCAGGCGCGCGCAGCAGCCCTCAGCTGACCCGTGCCCTGGCCTGCAGCGAAGCCCACGTTCCTGGGGACTCGGGTCTTCGAGGACTATGACCTGCAGGCGCTGGTGGGCTACATCGACTGGAAGCCATTCTTCGACGTGTGGCAGCTCCGGGGCAGGTACCCGAACCGAGGCTTCCCCAAGATACTTGATGACAGAACTGTGGGTGAGCACTGGGCGCTGCCCCTCCTGCTCTGCCGAGGGGGGTGGGGGAGGTGGGGGGGGGGACGGGCGGGGTTTGGCACAGTCAGCGTCGCCCGCCCAGCGTCGCCGGTGGCCATGTGCGACTAGCCTGGGCCCGTCCACCCCCGATAGCAGTCTGCTGGCGTCAGCTGCTGCGCTCTGCATGGGGCGCTGGCACTAAATAAGAGAAGACGAGGCAGTCCCCAGCCTGGTCGGCCAGCGTTTGGGGCTCGCATGTAGCAAGCGAGCTCCTGCCTTGGGGTGAATCCTAGGCCTCACGTCACGAACGAGCGAGACTCGGCGTTAAGGCCAGGGAGGCCAGAGGCTGTCTGCGCCGCTCTGCTGAGCCCAAGGCGGGGTAGCCACGGAGGCTGGCCCTGGCGCAGGAGGACGTGGCCATCAGGGCCGCAGACAGGCCTAGACGCCGGGGGCGGGAGCCCAGGGGCGCTGGGGAGGGGTGAGGGTGAGAGCCGGGCAGGTGTCGGCACAGGCCAGCCCCTCCCTCTCCCGCCGCTGCCCCCAGAGATGTGGGCTGCAAGGCCACAGGGCGGGGCCGGGCGGGGCCGTGGGTCCAGGGGCCAGAGGCTGGGCCTACCCGCTGCCTCTCACGGGCCCCTCTGCCGAGGGGGACCCTGGTGGACTCTAAGCCGCCGCTGGCCGGGAGCAGCAGGGGGCTCGCTCCCTCAGCTTGGGTGACCACGCTGCCTCCTGGGTGCTGCCTGGGCTAGAGGGAACAGGGAGGGGCCCGAGCGGGGAGAGGCCGTGCGGGCATTGCCCTTGGCGGGCCTGGGCCCCAGCTGCTCCCTGCCGGCTGGGCCGACTGCGCGGGTGCCTTGGGATTGGGCCGTGGGAGGGCACACGGGTGCCCCGCTGTCCACCGGGATGAGCGAGTTCTGAGCGCACCTTCCCGACAGGTGAGGAGGCCCGAAGAGTCTACGAGGACGCCCAGACTATGCTCAAAGCGCTCACTGGGCAGAGGAAGCTGCAGGCGCGGGGCGTGGTGGGCTTCTGGCCGGCGCAGAGCGTCCAGGACGACGTGCACCTGTTCGCCGCGGGCGCTGCGCCCGGTGCCTCAGAACCCATCGCCGTCTTCCACGGCCTCAGGCAGCAGGTGCGGCGCCCACGGCCGCGCGCTGACCACCCTGCCCCGCCCGGCACGATGGCGGGAGGCCGCAGACTGGGGGCGGGCGCCGGGCGGGCACCGTGCTTGGCGTGCCCAGGGCTGCTCTGTGCTGCGGCCGGGGCAGAGCCGGCACCGCGCCCCTGTACCCTGACCGCTTCCCACGCGGCCCCCACGCGGCCACGCTCACGTCCTGCCGCCCCGCTTCTCAGGCCGAGAAGGACCCCGCCAATCCCGACCCCCACTACTGCCTGTCGGACTTCGTGGCGCCCCTGCACTCCGGCGTGGCCGACTACCTGGGCCTGTTTGCCGTCGCCTGCTTTGGGGTGGAGGAGCTGAGCCGCGCCTATGTGGAGGCCGGCGACGACTACAGCAGCATCATGGTCAAGGCCCTGGGGGACCGGCTGGCCGAGGTAGGGGGCGCCCTGTGGCGGGGGGCGCCAGTGCCGAGCAGCCCCACTGCGCCCTGGCCCGGGGCGCCCCACGCGTGCTCTGCACACCCAGGGGCACAGGCCGAGGCGGGCTGCAGGATGCCCCTAGACAGTGGGGAGCAGAACAGCGGGTCCCCTGGACCCTCTGCTGGGTGTGGGGGAGATGGGCCTGCTGCCCCAGGGTCACTCCCTGGCCGGGACGGTTGCCAGGCGGCTGACGGCCTCGGGGCTGCGCCATCCCGCCCGGGGCGCCCTCCAGTCTGGGAAGGGCATGCCCGCGGCAGTGCCCGCCGGCCTCTTTGCTGCCGTCCGCGAGCGGTGACGTGGCGTTTTCCCGAGGAGTCTGAAAAGGGAGGCTAGAGCCAGTGTCCACCTCTGAGGGCCCCTCCTGCCGCAACAGGTCCCTCTGTGTGGCGCGCGGTGGCCTAGGCCGTGGCGCTGCCCCAGCGCCTGCAGCTCGCAGGGGAGCAGCGGTTCACTTGGCTGCAGCGTGGCCGGGGCTTGGTGGCCGCAGGGGCACAGG